AATAAAAGAGGGGGAAAAAAAAAAAGCAGCAAGAGAGGAGGTGACAGGACAGGAGAGGGGTGAGGACACACGTAAGCCCCCGGCGCTCCCCACGGCTCCAACCCCAGAGTTGCACAGTACCGGGCAGGGGGTTCAATCATATTTTCCTTTTCTTTTAGGAGGAAAAAAAAAAACAAAACAGAAAAAAAAAAGGAAAAAGCCTGGATGCCAGCGAGCAGCCGGCAGGCATCAGGGAGCTGTCTGCAGCATCAAGTTCCTCAGGAGTTTCTGGCGCCCGACCTCGTAATCCTCCTCATCCACATTGACCAGCAGTTTGATGGCTTCGTGGCCCACGGCTTGTTTGAGCGAGTCCGTGATGAAGACGCCCTTGAGCGCTTCCAGCAAAGAGCCGTTGATGTAATCGCGCCAGAACGCGTCGAGGTAGGTGAGCTCTGAGAATTTTATGTCACAGATGATGGAGCCCAGGTCCCGGGACTTCAGGATGGTGTTGGCCTGGTTGAAGCGTTCGAACTGACGCTCCAAGGGGTCCTGCTTGTTGGAGAAGACGTTGCCCTGAAGCGCCGTCTCGTGCTGGCAGTACTCGGCTCGGACTCGCAGGCGGATGTCTGAGGGAAGTGGGGAGAGTAGTCAGCGCTCCGCCGTGGAGGTGGGACCCCCCCAAAACCCACCCTGAACCCCCCAGGGCTCTTACCACAGGTCTGCTTCTCCTTCGGGTCCGGCGTCGCCGACTTCCTCCTCTTGCGCTGGCTGCTGAGGAGGGTCCTGCCGCGGCCGGGCCTCTTGGTACAGATCTGGGGTCCCGCGGAGGAGCAGCAGACCACGGGGTGGTGGGGAGGCACTGCGCAGGGAGAGGACGGGGGCTAGGAGACACCGAGCCCCCTCCTCGGCCCTGCCGAAGCTCTCGGGGCCGCTCAGCGCTCCAAATCTGCCTGCGAGCGCTCCTGCTCCGGCCCCAACACCAAGCTCCAGCCCTCCCCTCCTTCCCACGCCACCGCCACCTCCCAGGTGTGTGTCCCCCCCAGTCCCAAGGGGCAGCTCCAGGAGCCTGCGCAAGCCCTGAGAGGGGAGCCCCAAATTACAGCCCGGGACCGAGCAGCCTCCCCACAGCACCGCAGTCAGGGGAAGGGATGTCAAACTCGGTGCCCGTTCGCCCCCCAGAGCCGCGGGGCTCGTGGCAGCAGGGTCGGACGTCACCTCAGCAGCGACGGAGCCGTCGCCGCCAGCCAGAGGCAAGTCCTCGTGCTCCCGCCGGGAGCGGACACGGCAAAGGCAGGACGGTCCCGATAAACCCCCACGGACCGACCCTGAGGCCCGCAAGGGAACACCCGCACCCACCTGATTTATGGGGGTGGCCAAGCCCGTGCTCTGCCTCGCCGTGAGCTCGGGGCGTCACGTAGCGAATGGACGTCTCCTCCAGGTACTTGTCCACCAGGTCCGGGCACACTGGAAGAGAGAGGCAACACGGGTCCCTTTTGGGGGGCACAGAGGGGACACGGGTCCCTTTCGGGGGGAGGCCAAGGCAGGTCTGTCCCGACGCCGCAGGCGCCGACACGTGTTTGAGCTGCCCTGCATCCCCCCAGCGCGGCTGCACCTTCACCGGCCGTTTCTCCAGCCAGTCCTCTCGGAAAGTCGCCGTCTGGGAGCCAAGCCCTCCCAGCCGCCGCGCAGGAAAGGCCGTTCCCATTCGTTACCACAGCTACTCCCAACACCCGGATTCGGAGCAGACCAGCGGCGTCGCATGCACGCAGTCCCCCGGGAGAAAGTCCGGCCAAGGCGGGCAGTGCCTTCGTCACCGCTCCCGCACGGTACCGGGTCGTACGTACCCGGCGATTGCTCAGACCGGCCCCGGATTCATCCCCTGCTCCCTACATGAGCTCCTGCAGCTCGTGTCGGCCTGGGGGAGCAGATGCTGCTCCTCCTCCTCCTCAGCAGAGCGGAGCCGGGGGCAGCTCCAGGCCCCCGGGACAGACCCAGTTGCTTGAAACGCTTTTAGGATAAACTGGCGTACGCCCGAAGCGTTGAGCCTACGTTATTCACCTGACTTCAGCAGACCAAACCCGTGAAGTAACACGCTGGCAGGACGCGGGGTTTTGAGGCAAGTCAAGCTGCTGAGCAGAAGCAGCTGCTGAGCACAGATTATGGGGTGAAATGAGTTATTTCTGAGGGCCGGGATGTTTTCTGCAGGTTGTTTTTGTCCTGTTTGGTGAGCTCAGAGCATTGCCCGTCCCCAAGCAGGATCTCTCCCAGCCCTGCCGGACCGAAGCCAGCCGAGGCTGCGGGGTTCTGCTGCCTTCCCCCAGCCGGCTCCGGCTGCGCCGGGCTGATTCGGGACGGGGTTCCGCTCCCTTTCAGAGCCATGAATACGAATGAGGCTGAAGGAGGCAAGACCTCCCCGGCTGCTGCGGGGTCTGGAAGGACACGGGAACCAGAAACGAGAGTCAGCTCGTTCAGTCCGGAGGAGGCTTCCTTTAACGAACCAATCCCTCCTCTTTAAATGCGTTATAAACCACATGTAAGGTGCCTTTCTTAATAAAGCTTTTTGAAATGCTATTTTTGTGCATTTAATTAAACCGTTTCCACCCAAGCGCGGCTGGAGACGCTGTAAAGAGATCTCACGGGTACAGAGCATCGCTCGTCATGTATGGAGACGCGAATGCCGACCTCCGGCTCCCTGACCGCGCGGGTATCACACTTTAACATCGATCCATCCGTCTCGCCCTGAAAAGGCCCAAAGCTGGCATGGGGAGGGCTCGCCTGGCTTCAGCCAAGTGCCCCTTTGGTTTAGACTTTTGCACCAAACAGGTAAAAAACTGCTCAAGAAACACTGAAATAATGCTCCAACACCCCCAAACCCTACACAAACTGGGGGACAAAGAGCCGTGGATCCGTCCGTGTGCCTGCGGAACCAGCACCAGAAACCTCCCCGGGTCCAAGCACCACACAGGTGGTCTGCGTTACGCGCCCGCCTGCCGCTTTCCCCTTTCCTCTAGTTTTTCTTGGCTTGGCAAGAAGGAAGAGCACCGGAAGGTTACACCGGTAAGCAGCCTCTACACCCTGCCTGCACCGAGCCGCCGCGCCGGCTGCCCCGTGAGGGGCTCTGCAGGCAGCGATGGCAGGGAACAGGCTGGGGTCCATCCCTGACGCAGCCATGTCTGTGGGCGGCACACAGGGCAGAGAGCACGCTCCCAGCTCCCAGAAACGGCCGGATAACGGGAAAATCCTCATGGCATCTGGTCTGAGCCTGCACAGGCAGGGCTGTAGGTGCAGGCAGGGCATAGGCAGGTCCATCAGGGCTGGACGTTTCTGGCCTTTTGGAGCTCCAGAAGGCAGCAGCAGCCACCAAAATGAGGTGCCCCTGTCCCCTCCCGGGCCCGAGGCTGGACACGAAGCAACTGAGCAAAAAGAAAGAAAAGCTCCGCAAATTTTCAAGCTGCCCGACGCAGTTGGCCCCAGGCAGGATGGAGGCCGCGGGCGGCGCGGGGCCACGGTCCCGGTGACGGCTCAGAGGGTTTGCTCACCCCCGCGCTGCTGTCCTTCCGCTCACCCCCCCAAAACTGGGGACTTCTTAATGCCTGCCTCTACTTGCGCTCAGCGCTTTCCCAAACGCTGGCGGGGAACAGCACCGATGCCCACGGTGCGAGCAGAAACTGGGGAGACTCAGCAGCCTGGAACTGCCAAGAAAGCCCAATTATCCTAATTTAAAGGGAAAATGCAAATTTCAGTTGAATCCTCCTGGAGCAGCTGCCTTACACATCCCCTGCAACAAGTGCTCTCTCCTTCACTCCTCTAGTGCTGGTTAAATCTGGGTTAGGTTCTTTGAACTGTAAATTGAGGTTTTTCATCAAAAAAGGCACAGGGCTGAGCTGGTGAAGGGCAGGGGGTCAGCTCAGCCTGGCAGCTCCATGAAGCAACGAAAAAACACACCAAGTTACCCAGGTCCGAAGGGCTGGGTCATGGCTGGGGTCTCCAAGCCAGGAGAGAGTGAGGGGAAAGGGATGGTTGAAGGAGGAGGGTTTGGGGCATCCCACTGGAAAATGGGTGAAAAAAAATCTGAATTTGGACATGGGTTTCTCACTCCAGCCTCTCTGCCTACTGCATGCCGCAGGACTGACAGCACCAGCTCGGGGAGGGCACTGGTCCCCTTCCCAAACCCGCCTCAGCCCCGAGAGGACAAGCAGGTTACCCCCGAAGCCAACGGCACGTCGAGCACAGCAGCCGCGTGTTTCCGCGGACCCTCCCGGCTCCTTCTCACTCGCCGGCACAGCCCTGGGGCCACCCTCGGTATCGTGCCCCAGGCGGGACTTCAGGCCGAAAGGAGCATTTCCCCAAAAACTAGAGAGGAGCAGTGGGAGCTGGCAGAGGCGGAAGTCGCAGGCGTGGAGCTGCACAGCGCACAGCGGGAATCCCAGTTCGCTGCCACTAAAGGAAGGAGGAGACTTTCCCGGTGCTTGCCAGAGAAGTGAGGCTTTAACCCCCCAAAACCATGTGTGGGCGTTTGCTAAACCCCTGTAAAACAGCCCTTTCCCTCCTCCGCCTGCATCTCCCCGCTGTTCCGGCAGCCGTCGGTCCTCACAAGCCTCAGGTTCCTTCAGCCACCGTACCTCCAGGGCGTCGGTGAGGAGAAACAGGAGACGGCTGAATAACGAAGCCGGCTTCGTTAGGGAGCGGGCCAGGCTGCCCGCGGCGTCACTTACCGGCCCGTCGCCTCTTGAGGGTGACATAGGGCAGCAGGTCGTGGCGCGTGATGATCCGCAGCAACTGCAGCACTTGTCGGAAGTTGGTCTCATCGCAGCCCCCCTGCCGCTCCAGCGCCAGCAAGAAGTCCCGGCCGCTGCGGATCATTCCCCTCTCGTAATCATCGATCACGTCCACGAAGAGGAAGGAGAGCACCCGCACGTCCCGGTGGGTCAGGTGGGTGCCCACGATGTCAAACATGCGGTGCAGGCTGTAGAGCCCGTGCTCCCGGTCACCCCGCTCCTCCGGCCAGGCTTGCGCTCGGCTGCGTTTGAAGGCGGCCATCTTCCACCGCTGCCGGCACGCGCCGAGCCAGGGGCTCCCCGTACCGGCGCACGCGCCGAGCCAGGGGCTCCTCGTAGCGCCGCAACCCTAGAAGACAGAGAGGGCAACAGGATTTAATCCCTTCCCCATAGACACTTGATTAAAAACCCCGCTCCGCACCCCTCCACCGCATCTCCACGTTCGGCAGCGACTTGTCCTCTCCTCTGCCAGAGCATCTCACACCAGAAATAGAGGGCTGGGTACCGGACCAACGGCACCGGGCTCTGCCGGCACCGGCAGGTCTCTGCCACGCTGTCAACCCAAACACCGCCTGGCAGAAGCGCCCAGGAACGACGGCACTCGGTGGCAGGGCGCCAGATCGCAACCCCAGCGAGGAGCAACGTCCTCTACCCCAGCAAAACGAGTCCCCGCATATCTCACACCAGAAATAGAGGGCTGGGTACCGGACCAACGGCACCGGGCTCTGCCGGCACCGGCAGGTCTCTGCCACGCTGTCAACCCAAACACCGCCTGGCAGAAGCGCCCAGGAACGACGGCACTCGGTGGCAGGGCGCCAGATCGCAACCCCAGCGAGGAGCAACGTCCTCTACCCCAGCAAAACGAGTCCCCGCATCACCCGGCCAGGCCACGCGGG